TTCATTAAAATAAAGACCTTTTTTACGTAAAAGTGTTGGTTGATTGAATGCATTTACAAGTGTATCAACATCTGATTGTTCAAGCTATTGAATAGAAAATAAAAATTCGTCTTGTTTTAGAAATCTATGTACACACTTTATAACCAACAGATGTTGTCTTTATTTGACTAGTATCACGTATAAGTAAACCACATTTTTCAATATGACCTGAATCAATCAATGCTGTATGTAGTAAAACTTGAAGTTGATTCATGATAATAATCGATTAGTTGGCCCGTTATTATTATTATTATTATTATTCTCATATTTCTTTTTTCTTTTTCTTTTTAATAGTAATGGAAGCAGCCATAGTCATGGATGTCGCGCTGACTTCAACCTCCTTTTTTTTTTCTTTACAATTATTCTATTCTAAAAACTGAAACATTTATGTAAGTAGTCCTTCGATACCACTAAATTGCAATCTTCTCCATTGAACATAGCAACCAACAAGGACAAAAAGAAAATAATTGTGTCATTAAGAACGTTCGTTCAATGAATAAAATGTCAAGTTTTTTTTCACACTTAAATCTTCTTGTTAATAATATGAAATGACAATGTCATAGAAAGAAAAAAACAAAAAAGAAATAATATATGTTGTTTTAAATATGTTTCGACAAGGACAAGACAGTTAATGAGACTATTAAAAATGTTTCTTGTGTGCATATTGAAAAATCCAGAGGAAAATACATCACACACTATTGTTATATCATTGAAAATTTAAATTGACAAAAAAGCAAAAATTGGGAGAACTGCGTAGTACTCCCCTGAGTCATAGGAAAAAAAAAACTATTTTCTTGATAAAAACTATATCCCAATCTTATGTCCAGAAAAATTTGGACACAAAGTAGAATTATAATTATGTAAAATAGGACGGGTTCAAGCAAACAATTTCCATCACACACATAACATGCACGAGCGTGGTACAAACTATACACATCAACCATAAATCACGATATACAATAAAAGAAGAAATAAGTCACTACATGAGTAAAAATGCTAAGCGAACACGAAAATGTGTTGCTGAACGACAAAGAAAAAAAAGAAAAGAAAAGAAAAATCGAAAACGAAAATTTGTCTGTAAGTAAAATTCTAAACATAATTTCAAATAAGAAGATGACACGTCAAAGAAAAAAAAGAAAAACAATCTAAAGATAATGATAATAATAATAATACCAATATCAAGAAACCACACGAGACAATAAATTAGTCCTATATTATTCTTGATATGACAATATAACATTTATTTCGCAGCTTGTTTAGCTCGACCACGACCTGTACGTTTTCGTCCAGTTGTACTTTTACCTTTCTGTTTATTACCAGCAGTCCGTTTAATATAAGCTTTACCTTCCTATTAAACATAAGCATTAAATTACAAAAAAAAAAAAATAGTATTAAGAAAATATTTACACGTGCTGTATTAGCCATTGTACCAAGTCGTTTAATTCCTGGTCTACGTCCAGTTGTTGGTTTAGTTACTTCTTGAAGAGTTTTTTCAGCTTTAACAGCTGCTTGTCGTCGTTTAGTTTCTGCACGTGTATCACCAAGAACTTCTTTACCAATTAATGTTTTAGCTTCCTTCGAAAATCAATAAAATTCAATAATATATTTTTTTAATGATTTACTTTAACATACTTTTGCTGTAGTTTTCATTGTACGTGCTTTTGATAGTTTAGGTTTAGCTTTTGTTTTACTTGAAGACGTTGTTGTTGCACTACTACCAGCAGCTGTACTCGATGCAGTTGTTGTATCATTAACATCACTTGTATCTGATTTATCACGTGCTTCAAGTAAGGCATTAACTCGATTTAATTTATCTTCACCCCATGCTTGTTTTAAAAATTCTTGACCAGCCTAAAATAAATCAATAAGAAAAAATAAAATAAATAATAAAAATAAAATAAATTCTTTTGTTATTCTTACAGCTGCAGTTGCTGCCATTGTTCCAGATTTTTTTAATGATGCTTTTGCGGCTTTACTCTTTTTAGGAGCCATTGATTTGCTCTATTTGCGTTTATGCGTGTACGCGTGTATGAAAAGTGTAATAATAGTAGAACGAGAAAAATGAATGAATATATGTCGAGAATATGTTTACCTAGAATAGAATATAGATATATATACATACATAGAGAGATAGAAATTTACAATATTAATCATTCAAAATTATGATTTTTTTTACAAAATATATTCAAATCAAACTGTATATATCAATTCCATAAAAAATTTGACGTTAATATCTATCGTTCAAGGTGAGATTTCATATATTTAGGCTTGTTATGCGTAATATCTCGTTTTTTTTTGCCTATACACGTAAACGAGTGTATGTGGGCACCGATAAAGTCAATAGAAAAAGAAAGAAAGAAAGAAAGAAAAAGAACAAAAAAAAATGTCAAAATGGTAGCCATCATCAAAATTCTTCTCTAGTTTGGTCCTCTATATTGCTGTTATATAAGACAATTAAACATGTATTAATTAAAAACAAATAAAAATATTCATTATCATAAAAGTCTACATTGAGAAATAAATGTAAAATTAAACGATATTACTCTCTTTTTTTTTGATTTAATAAATGTTTTATGACGAAAAGAAAAAAATCTACGCTTATTTTTCTTTCTTAAATTACTCTTCAAATCGATATCGATAACATTTTATGTATAGGTTACAAAAAAAAAAAAGATAGAAGACTTAGTCAAAGCCGATTACATATTCAGATAATAATTGTTGTAGTATAGTTTTCCTATTATCACCTCGTTAGAAAAGTATGTCATACAATATAATCAACTGTGATAAATAATTCAAATTATATTTTCAGTTCACAGAATATTCTTTCATAAATAAAATAGAGAGAGAGAGAGAGTAAATTATATGCTTGAATAAATCAAAATACAGTAGTTTCTTTTGTATTAAAGAAAAAAAATTTCTCAATCATTAATCGTAACGTATAAATCTAAAATTGTTTGTCAGTTACTTTTTCTTTTTTGTTTGCAAATATGAACACACTTAATATTCAAGTGTGACGTGCTTATCTAGAATTTAGATAACTATAAAATATTTGTTTTCGAAAGATTTCATCGTATGTCGACATTTTAATATTTAAAAAAAAAAAAAAAAAAAAAAAACAAAACCATTGAAAAACTTCTATATTGACTCAAAACTTCGTCTAACTATCGAAGTGACTCACCTAAATTATTATAGATGAAGATTTGAATCTATGTTAAAAGGCGAAAGTGTATGTTGACTCTTCTATATAATATTCTAGTAGGGTTATGAGGGGTTGTAAATTATGTAAGAACTCGCGATAACCAACAGAACACAAAGAAAGTCAACAAAAAGGGAAAAGAATATAAGATAATAGAGAACGTGCATTTTCATCGTTCTATCGGGTACATCACACGCAACACATTATTTTTATATTAGTATTTTCAATAGTTAAACGAAGATGACTGATGTTCAGAATACTACAACGGATTCAAATGTTCAGAATACTACAACAGATTCAAATGTTCAAAATACTACAACAGATTCAAATGTTCAAAATTCTACAACGGACTCAAATGTTCAGAATAGTACAACGGACTTAAATGTTCAGGATAGTACAACGGATTCAAATGTTCAAAATACCACAATGGACTCAAATGTTCAGAATAGTACAACGGATTCAAATGAGCCAACAATAAAACTCTATTGGTTAAGTGAAAGTCGTGCTGATCGAATAGTACTTTTACTTGAAGAATTAGAAGTACCATATGTAATTGAAAAAATTGAACGTGGACCCGATAGACTTGCACCACCTGAATTAAAAAAGATTCATCCATTAGGAAAAAGTCCTGTAATCAAAGATGGTGATAAAGTTATTGCTGAATCTGGTTTTATCATTGATTATCTTATTGATAAATATGGTAAAGATAAAAATTTAAAACCAACAAATAGCGAAGATTTATTTCATTATAATTATGTATGTTAGATTTTTTTTTTATTGATAAATATTTTCAAAAAACCAAAATAATATTTTTCAGTTTTTACATTACATCGAAGGTAGTTTAATGTCTATCCTTGTTATGAAATATGTCTTTCTTACTATACAAAAACAAGCACCATGGATAGTCAAACCTATTGTAAATGGTATTTGTAATAAATTGGATGCTTTGTATTTAAGACCAAATATGAAAACGCATATGGATTTTCTTGAAAGTGAATTAGGACAAAGAAAATGGTTAGCAGGTGAACAATTTTCTGGTGCTGATATTCAAGTAATTGAATTGACTTTTGAAAATTATAATTTACTATTATTATTATATATATATATATATATATATATAGGCCGGTTTTGCATTGGAAATGCTTATGAAACTATCAAATGTTAATGAAGAAGGAGCAACAAATATATCTAGATATTTAAAAGAAATGCATGAACGACCAGCTTACAAGCGAGCAATGGAAAAAATTGGAAAAAATAACCAATAGTGAATAAAAATATTGACAAAAAAAAATAATAAATGAACAAAATCAAATAAATTCAATGTCTGATTAAATAATAAACTATTTCATATATGATGAGAATATCTGCTCAATTCAGATTCTAGAACAAAAGAGAATATTTAAAAAGAAGTATTATCAATAAGCTTTATTGTAGTTAGAAATTTCTGTGTTTTGAAAAATGTTCACTCCCCCAATTCATACAAAAATTCCATAAAATCCTATTTATTGTAATTTCTCTTGTCATTTATCTGTTCATTAGTGACATCTATACACATTCTTTTATTTTCATTTCAGCCATTTGTCCTGTTTTGTATAAATAATAATAATAATAATATTATGTTATTTTCTATTTGTTGGTCTGTTAATCGTATCTTTTTCTTATAATAAATAAAAAAAAAAAGTTCATCTATACCAATGGATATAAATCATTGAAATTAGTTGTATTTATTTTCTCAACTGATTATATCCCATGTTTTAAACTTGTCATGTCTCAAAAATATTCAACAAATGAAAAATTAAAAAATAAAAATCCTTCATCTCCATTAAATCCTAATGATGAACAACGTTATTGTATATGTCAAAAACGTGAAGATGAATTAAATGATGATGATAATAATGATTTTATGATTGAATGTGATGGTTGTAATGGTTGGTTTCACGGTAAATGTGTAGATTTAGCTGATCGAATTGCTGGTAAAGTTCTTTTTGATTTCTTAGAAGAAAAAAAAAAGATTTCTAATTTATTTTTAAAATAGATGATATTGAAAAATATTTTTGTAATGAATGTTCAAAACAATATGGACCTTCAATTTGTAAGAAAAACAAAAATAAGAGAATTACAGAAAAAAAAAACACGTTTCAAAAATTTTTATTTTAGTTAAACAACGAAGAAATCAACATCGAAGAGATTATAGTGATGCAAACGCTGATAATAAAGTAAATTAAAAAATCTACATAAAGATAAAATTCTTTTTTTTTTTCCTTTCTATAGCCAACACAATCTGGTACACCAGATTTTATTAATAAATTAAAACGAAAAATATTTCCAAAGTAGCAAAAAACTAATAATAATTTTCATTTGAATATAAATATAATCTTTTTTTACTTTTTGTATATTTTATAGTTGTGATTCTGTTATAACTCGTTTAAAAGGCAATCAATTAACTACTGAATATGTAGTAAAAAATGGTTTTACAAAACCAATATTAGTTACAAATCGAGATGGTCTTGATATGTCATTACCAAATCGAGCAATAACATTAGCAGAAATAAATGATTTTGTTGGTATGAAAAGATTAATTTTAATTTTTTTTTTTTTCTTAAAATAAAAATTGACTTATTATTTAGGACATGACCGTTTTATTGATATAATTGATTGTGAAAAACAAGTGACTTATAAAATGGGTTTAGATGATTATATTGAATATTTTGAAAGTTTTGAAAGAAATAAAATTTATAATGTTCTCAGCTTGGAAATATCAAATACTAAGTATGTATTACATACATTCGAATAGAATTATTTAATATAAATATTCTCAGAGTTAATTATTTTCTTCTAAATTCTAAGATAATTTGAGTAGAAGATAAGATGCATCAACTCTGCGTATGGTCATACGTACTTGATGGTAAACAACATAATTGTCAATAAATAAAATATGGATTAATAAGAATAGAAAATAGAGATCATCGAGTTATATTCTAAAAGTAACAGCTAATTATGATAAGATGGTTGTCTGAAAAATATGTAGAGTGTGTTAATTGATAGAAAGTATTTCGCATCTTCAGAACGACTTGAAGGCTGACATTTTTGTTGAAACTAGAAGTATAATTCGGGTCCGGATTCAAAAAAAGATGTAAACTAACCGTTCATTATTTGGCATTTGATATTCACTACTTTCACAAGTAATGAAATATAATTTCTTGAAGTGGAACTAGTTTAACAAGAAAGAAAAGATTTCATCTTAATTAAGACTTGTTAGAGCAGACAATTTGATATTTGTTTTACTGGATAGAAATGGTTGTCCTATGTTGACTTCTAGTTTGAATAAGATAGTTTATTTCAACAACAGTAAGTCTCTTTTTCTAAGAGACAAAAAAAATCAATGATCAAACTGGTTTAATCATTCTTTCAATTTGAATTATATGACTTAAACAAAATAACTTCTAATTAGATCAAATTATTTTCATGAATATCATTTCTATTCATACTTTATATTATGACTTACCGATAGATGGTTGAATAGATCTAACATTTATTATATCTCGAAAATTATCTTTCTGTCTTTTTTTTTTGTTAAATTAAGATTGGGTGAACAAGTTGTAACACCACAAATTGTTCGAGATTTATCATGGGCTACAATTGGTGTATGGCCAATTAAGAAACAAGAAAAACAAAATGATGAAGAATTAAATTCAAATGAAAATCAAAAGAAAACAATATGGCCATTACAAACAATAACATCATTATCAAAAAAGAAACGTCGAACAGTTTCATCAACAGATACAGATCAAAGTGATGATGAACAATATGATGGAATAGAAGCAAATCATTTTGAAAATTTTGAACGTCCTGAAGTAGCAAAATATTGTTTAATGAGTCCACAATCATCATATACAGATTTTCATATAGATTTTGGTGGTTCAAGTGTTTGGTATTCTGTTGTTCGAGTAAATTTTATTTTATTGATTATTTTCTTTTTTTTTTTTTTTGTTGTTGTTGTCCTTATATTAATAAAGTTTTGTTTTGTTTTGTTAAGGGTGAAAAGGTATTTTATTTAATTGAACCAACGGATGAAAATTTACAAAAATATGCTGATTGGTCAGGATCACCAAATGAATCGGAAGTATTTTTAGGTGATTGTGTAACACATTGTTATAAAATGCATTTACGTGAAGAAAATACTGTTCTTATACCACCTGGGTTTGTTAAGTTTTTTGTATAAAGATCTTATAGTATGAATTATTCATAATTTTTTTTCTAGATGGATCCATGCCGTTTATACAGTGACTGATTCGCTTGTTTTTGGTGGTAATTTTCTTCAATCACTGGGTGTTGATATGCAGCTTCGGTAAGTTTATGTATAAACTTTTAACGGGGGATTAAGTCTGAAGAAAAAAAAAGGCTACAGAAAATGAACTTTCGTTTTTTTGTCTAAAAAAAAAACATAGAGATGGATATGAAAAATATAATTAATTTAATAAGTATGAAATAGCGTATTGATTATTTTTGATGGATTGTTTTCTTAAATTCGATTGTGTTTGACAACGAATTATTGTGCCTTGAAAAAAAGTCTACCAACAAATTATTTGATTAATGATTAGACTTCTTTATATTGATTACATTTTTCTTTTTTTCATCATGCAAAGATTTGTATTATTAAATTAATAAAATTTAAAATATAGATTTTCCTTGATATATCTCAATTGAAATATTCGATTTCTATGATATTCAAAGCTTAAGATAAATCATACGGAAATAATATTAGAAACAACATTGCAATAGTAATCACAATACTAGTAAACTATCTAGCAATGAGCAATTGCATACGGTTCGAAAAGTTATTGGGTACAGATTTATTGAAAATAGTGAAAATTACTCATAATTCAAAAATTCTTGGCTATGCCATTGTATAACATTGGTTTACTATTGAAACTTTTTTTTTTTTAATTTTGCTTTAACTAATAAAATCATTTGTATCAGTATGTATCGAAATTGAGTCCCATTACATTGTAGATATTGAATAAATTATTCAATATTTTCATGAAAGCTTTGAATATATTGATTTAAACGAAGTGCTACTTTCATAAATATGCTTAGTACGATGGTGATGTTTGTTAGTGTGTCAAATGTTAATGTAAGCATATTTTATGCATTCTATTTGATACAATTAAACATCTACTAAGAATATTATAAGACAATATCTTCTACATTTTTATATTATTCAGATTGAATATGATATCTTCTTGAAATTTAATAATATTGAACATACTTTTTTGCTAATGTGAATTCGTTCATCATGAATAGTTTTTATTTTACCCTGAACTGAAAGATATAATGCAGTATAATATTTCTATATGTCATTATCAATAGAGATGAAGGTCTTTAATCGAATGATAGTAATAAAATTTTTAATATTTGAGCATAACATTCTTTGATTTCTCAATTTCTTCAATCATTTCACTTATATCTTTACTATATATGACCTTAAATTTAATATGATGTTTTAAAAATGGTAGATCAAACAAGTCAATGTAGATAACATACTGCATATACATAAAATATGCACGACCATGAATAGTCACTTTGTATTCGATTGATATAAGATAATATTATATAACTGAAAATGACAAATTGAACCTTTGAAGAAAAAAAAAAACCAATAACTACGTTTATTTGATTGATATTTGTTGATACGATCAAGGTATTTCACATCTCTCATGAATCAAATTGACCTTCGTCTTCTTGAAGAATTATTCTCTAGTTAGATCAAGAAATGACATATCAATGCAATAAAATTGTAGACATCTGATATGCAAGACTTACTTCAAAAACCGAAACTAATCTATTTTCGTTAATACTCTATTGAAGTTTGAGTATATATCATAATTAATATGATACTAATGATCTAGAAAATTTAAGCAAGATTTTACACATAATTTGATTTGAAGAATATATCTAATCTTATAATATAGATCTTTGCATTGTCAAAATATTTTTTTTGTTGTATGTTACATTAAAAAGAATTAAAACTTTAAAATTTTTTGAATATATTATATTTATTTATTTATTTATTTTAGCATTTATGAGCTTGAACGTCTTGCACAAGTTCCAAATAAATTTCAATTTCCATTATTTGAAACATTTCATTGGTATGCTGCTAAAACATTTTATGAAGAACTTAAACGTAAAATTTATTTATTTATTTTTTTTTGCATATTTTACTGTTTTTTTAACAACAATAATCTATTATAGAATGTAATGAAACTAATGCATTAATAATCAATCCAATAACTCAACAAGCTTCTGAATCAATTATTCATTATATGAGTAAATGGTTATCAGTTGATAAACGAGTAAGAATGAAACTATTATTAATAAATTCATATATATATGCTTGTTATAATTAATTTAACTAAATGATAGATAAGTTTGAAAATAAATGTAATCTCTAAATTAAAAAAATCTAGTGGAAAATCAATGATAGTCATTATATTCTATCATCAGTATCATATAAAATATTTCTACTGGTAATAATTATATAAATTTTATTTGCATTATTCTCTATTTGTTCGAATATGATTGCTTATTAATCTTATAATGACAACTATTTTTCATCTTGCTTCATTTTAGTTTATTTTTCTGCTTTTATTAAGTTTTATAAGAATTGTTTTGAATTTTTGTTTTTTTTTCTTCTTCTTCTGCTTAGTATCAACTTCGAAATCGTACAACTATACCAAAAGGAATTAATTGTGAAAAAATTTTACGTGATCTTGCACGTGAACTTGATCTAGCAAAAGTAAATTATTATGAAATATATCGAATGTATCAGAATAAATGTCCTTAGAAGTTTTTTTTTTTTCAATATCAAGATTCATCGCCATGCATATTTTAATCCTATGTCTTGAGAAAAAAAAATTCGCGATTCAAATTTCTATAAGAATGTATCAAAAGCTTTGATAAAAAATTTTAAGTAAAATAAATTTATTGTCCGAATAGTAAAATTTTTGTATTAATATCTTCTATGTAAATGAATTATGTCTTTTTCTAAACTTTATAACAAAAAAAAAGTAACGGTTTTGAATCAGCAATTTAAGAGAAAAAAAAACGAGTAAATATAACTCAATTTTTTTATTTTAATTTCGAGAAAAATGAATAATAAATCAAACTGAAATGCAGGAATCTAAATAGATGCTTTTCATTTGAGTATATTGACTCAGTTTTAATGTTTGTATCAAAAAATGAAACTTTATTGAAACAAACTTCAGTATACATCATAAGACAGAATGGACATTTATTCTGGTGCGTCCATTATAAATAGAAAAAATAATATTTGTCTACTATTAGACACGTTGTGGATCATCATGTATTTCTAAACCACCATCGAATAGCATTATTGCAAGTCCAATTAAAGTTGTACTTCCAATTGAAACAAAACAAGAATTAACTCATGTTAATAATACTAAAGTTTGTTATGATTATATTTATATATTTTATTTATTTATTTATTTATTTATTTAAAAAGATTAAAGTTAAATGTCGTCGTTTATCATCTGAAAATGAAAATATAAAAAATAAAGAATCATCAGGTGGTGCTAGTGTGAAATTAACTATTAAAACAACATTAAGTGGTTGTAGAAAACCAAGTAGTAATAGAGAATTGACATCAAATATAAATAAGAAAAAAACTGGGCGAACAATATCATCTGTTAAACAACAAAAAAAGTAATTAGAAAAAAAATTATAAATGAAAATGTTTTATAGAAAAAACGAAACAATTTTTTTTTTAGTTCGAATATGAATGATATTTCGGTAAAACAAGAAGAATCACCTAAAATTACTTATACACTTGGTAAGAATTTCAAACAAAACTTTAAATGTAACTATAATCCAATGTCTCATTTAGATCTCGAAGCTAAACGACAACGTTTTATTGAACCTGCAAATATTCAGTGAGTTGATTTCATTCAGAAAATTTTATAAATACAGCTATTATCATATTCTTAACTGAGCATGAAAGCTAACTCAGGAGTTGTAGCAATCTATATATCGAAAATAGAAACATAGACAAGACAATCTTGAGCAAAAGAAGATTAGAAAAATTTATTTTTTGTTTACTGTCTAGGATCATATGAGAAAAGTCTTCAGACAAACAACATTAAAACTTATCAAAGAAAAATAAAACATACAACAGAAGTAGTTTCTATCCGATGCACAGTTCAAATTCATTTTCTTGCTTTTTATTCTGTCCATTTATTCTATTCTGCCAACTTCAAAAATGCGCCTTCTTTTTGATATACTTATTATGACTATAAATACAAAAAAAAAATGAGAAAAAATGAATAATTTAAATAAATATAATATCAACATAATGAGAAAAAGGCGTTATAATCATGTAAATATAATCTTGTAGAAATACGTCATGTAATATCAGAATTTTTCAGTTAAAATTAAAAAGTCAGGAATGTAATATCAATAGAAAACCTGTTAACTTTGAGACTACACCTTTTGTTTTGCCTACAGTTAAGATATTTTCTTTCTTATCGATACTCATCGTAAAAGGATTACAATTCGTGATCAATGTCAGTGAAGTTATTATGATAGATGATTAAAAGATTGAACTATTAACCAATCTATTATTTTGAGAATTATAAAATTTAAATATTTCTTCTTTCTATAGATCAAATCATGATGAACCTGATAAAGATATTAATACTTCATCAAATCGCACAAATGTCTCATTAATTCCTCGTGAATCACATACAGATATTAATGACATTCATGACAATAATGAATCCTTAGGAGGTATAGCTGATGGTGGTCTTGCATCATTTGTTAAAAGTTCTTCAATCAATGATGATTATTGTAAGTTTAAATTTTACTTTAAGATAATATTAATTTTTTACAAAAATAAAAAAAAAATAATCTATTAAATTTAGATCATCCAAGTAAAGAAAGTAAAATGAAACGAGAACATAGTGGTTCAGATAAGAAGATTTCAATAAGTAAATTTAGAAAGAAATTTTTTTTTGTTATATTAAATAAATTTATTTTTTTGTAGAAAAATCCAAATCCAAAACATCAACAGAACTAAATGTAACATATTCAATTTTAATTTTCTTTATTATTAATAATATTTTTTTTTTTTTTATAGAAATTAACAAAAAAAATTAAGAATGAAGGTAAAATTTAATTTGATTTTCTATTTGTTTTTCTGTATGTGTGTGTATTATTTAGATTCAACATCATCTAATTCCAAACGAAAAAAACTCTTAACAACAACAACAACAACCACAACAATTCCAAAACCTTCATCATCAACAAATAATAATCCACCAGGAATAGCAGCAAATAAAAAACGTTTATCATCTTCTACACCAAAAAAACTTAATTCAAAAGATCGCCTTGGAAAAATTCTTAAAATAGCAAATAGCATTAAATCACGCGGTGGAATTCTAACTTGACTTATTCATTTTTCTTATTATGATCTCAGGAAGTTTTTTTTTTCTTTATTTCTTTTTTTTCCTGTGTTCAATATTTATATAGACGATATTTGTTGTGGATCATTATCGTTTCATTATTTCTTTTGAATATTCTAATTCTTCAATGTATCGAGTTTGTTTATTTGTTTGTTTGCTTTTTTTTTCCTAAAATCGAGCTATGATTTTTGTCTTCTTCTTAAATTCTATCCAAACCATGAAATATTTCTATATAATAGATTAGTTTTGATGTATATATAAATTTTGTTCTTCTTCTTTTATGATTATTCTGTATTATCGATTGTAACGATAGAAAGAAATAATAATAAAACAAAAACAAATGATGTCATATATGACATTATTGCATACTTATAATGTAATGTATGTTTATTTTGATTCTTTCATTTTCCATATAAATGATCATTTTCAATATTTTTCATCGTATGATGGCTACAAATACTTCTATAATACATAGTCTTATCGATATTGGTGCAAATCTTACACATAAATCATTTCAAAAAAATCTTCATCCAATATTAGAACGAGCTGATAAAGCTCAAATTTCACATATTATTATAACTGGTACAAGTCTATCAGCTAGTCGTGAAGCAATACATATTGCTACAAAATATAATCAAGAACAACAAAT